TTTGTGGAAAATTTAAACAAAACTCCTTATCCTTTCATGAGTTACATGGAAATTAATGTAAATAGGTTCTGGCTTAATTGTATTACTTGGCAGCCTGCAAAGAGTCTGCCTTTTTTACTGCTGTTCAATCCTTTACTCATGTAAATAATCCTCATTAGTGCTTTTTACCATGAGTAGGGGTTACAGAACCGAGACTGGAAGATGTGAGTATGTCCTTTGTGACAGATGGATGGTCTCTTGCAGCACCACAGATAGAAAAATGCACAATCCCTGTACTCACCAAAGAGAGCAGAAAAACACTGCTGCTGAGATAATCTTCAGGAGGAAGATTACCAATATTTAATTAAAAACACACAGAGCAGATGCTCTGACTCTCTGCCAGGAAATCCCGCCATTACTTACATAAATTAAGCTGTGTCTCAGCATGGGGACTGGAGGGAGCAGCACATATGTGCTGGAACACAACTTCCAATTTGATGGTACCTGTAATTTTGTCACCAATTTCCAGCACCATGGGCCGCAAGCCCTGGTTTGAGAATGTCAAGCAGACACTTGACTGAGCCCCTGTTTAATGCTGCTTCCTAAGGGCAAGTTTTTTCTCAAACTTGTGCAGAGTTTAAACTGAAACACATTTGCAACATCAGTGATTGTGCAGAAAAACTCTTGAGGTCCTATTCATCTCCCAGCTGTAAATCACTGTGGCAAATATTAGCAGTTATCAAAAACTGAGCACTTTTGCCCCATGAGCACCAGAACCTGCATTTCTTCATTTTTCACTCTGCTGTCAGCCTGGCTGAGCACCCTGAGGAGAGCAGCACCCTGCAGGGCTGATGTTGGGATGTTTCATGGCAGGGCTTGGGAAGAACACAGACTCATCAAATGAATTCTGTAAGCCTAGAAGAAGCCAGATGTCTGGTTCCCACTGTGTGAAGCTGTGTTGATAATGGTTAAAAAATCACCACCTGCCATGGTAGGCTACTGATAAAGGTGGAATACTGTAACTGGTGTGACACTTGAGCACAACTGAACACATCATGAGAATAGCTCATTTTAATCTCAAAATGCTCATGGAATCATTAAGGTTGCAAAAGACCTCCAAGGTCAGGACCAACCTTTTACTGAATCCCACCACACCCACTAGACCCTATCACAAAGTGCCACGTCTACCTGTTTTTTGAACACTTCCAGAGATGGGGACTCCACCACTTCCCTAGGCAGCCTGTTCCACTCTTTCAGTGGAGAAAATTTTCCTAATATCCAAGCTGAACCCTCCCCCCCAATGCAGCTGGGGCCGTTTCCTTTTGTCTTGTTACTTGGGAGGAGCAACTGGTCCCCATGTTGCCACAACCTCCTTTCAGGGAGTGGCAGAGAACCTCCTTTTCTTGAGCCTGAACACCCCCAGCTCCCTCAGCTGTTCCTCATAGGATTTACCCTCTAGACCCTTCACCAGCTCTGTTCCCTTCTCTGGACACAAAATACTTTGCCTTATTTTGGACTAAAAGGAACCCCATGGCTGCCTTCTGCCATAAATCCTCATGGAGAATGTTCTGCTCTATCAGGAACACAGGTTATGCCTTGTCAAGCTACACATTTCTCATGCTTTTAAATAAGCCAGCTCTGCTACCCTGGTGCAAGGCTGTACTTATTCCCAAGTTTAAGCCTGGGGCTTCTATTCTCTGTAACATTTTTTTAAAAGAACAATCAGTGATGATGAAAAACTAAAGACATGTTGAAATCAGGCATTGGCCCAGACATGCTGTATCTTCTAGCTTTAGTTTTCTATTTATACATTATGTGTTTTATCCTTTACATGTAAAGAGTTTGATTCACTTTTTTGTTGTTTGAAAATATTAAAAATTAAATTAGAAATGGCAACTAGGGAATCAGTGACCTGCAAGTCTAGTATGTTATTCTTCCATTGAGTATGTTCAGCACTGCATGAAATTTTTTTCAAGAGCACTACAGCTTGTAAAGTTTCAGTATGCTCATTTTAAATAAGGTTTCCTTTAGAAACCATTGTTCTAGGGAACTGTGTTTTTTTGACAGGAAAAATGAAAGGACACCCCATATGATATTAACTTGCAGAGCAATTTTATTCTGTATTTGTTTAAATCTGCAGATTTTAAAATTGCCTTTAAATCAATCAATTTCCTGACAATTTTTGCCTTCACAGTCTTATGACAATCTGGTCTTACAAGGTGAATCAAGTTGGTCATAAACCTCACTCCAGTCATATGGGAGGTGCATGTAACACACACCTAAAACTTCCTGGAGCACCAATGCATGACTTTCTACAGGAAGAAGGGCAATGGTGGACATAATTTCTCCATATTGTTTTAATTGCATTGCATTTAGTCTTGATATTTTTAGCTCTGTCCACAAAGTAATTACACAAATTTCTCCTGCAGGCCTCCCCAAACATGAGAAGTCATCTTTCTACTCACCAGTGACTGAATCTGGCTCTGGTTGCCAAAGCCAGCTCTCTCATTGAGGTCAACAGGGAAACCACCTGCCCACACCGTCCGGAGCCCAGCAGCAGGTAAGGAGGCACCGACGTGGCAGGACAACAATCTGTGTGTGGGCAGCCCGACCACCAGCTGCCAGCGAGATAAGGGCGGCAGGGGCCTCCCGTGCTGGGTGGGAATGGTTCAGCTGAGGACACACTGCCATGCCAAGCGAGCAGCTGCCTGCGAAGGTCACTGGCCTCGCAGCGAGCTGGCAGCTCTTGGGCAGCACGCGTGCTCTGGTGGGCCGGAGGCGACTGCAGCGGGCAGGGAAGGCAGTGGGTGCCTGATACGGGGAAGGACGGACCCTCTGCCTGGCCGGGAGTGTGTGCACACCTGCAATCGCGGCTGCCGAGGCAACACCAAGGGCTGCCCTCTACCCTGCGGGACCACGGCAGGGGCAAAGCCCTCCCGAGGACCAGCTGGAGCTGATCCACCACAGCCGCGGCTGCTGTGGGACACAGACCGCACGGCAGCGCCTTGCCGAAGTGCCGGCCTGGGCCTGTCGCGGACAAACTGCCCCGAGGCGCAGCCCTATGGCCGAAGGCCCTGGGGAGGAAGGGGCCGAAGCTCAAGGTGCGGCCGAGCCCGGGAGAGGGAGCCGTAGCCCCGCTGCGAGCCCCGGCCAGCGGCCGCTCGTCCGGCTGAGCGCGGGGCCACGTGCGCAGGCGGCGCCAGGCACGGGGCGGCGGCGCCACCTGCCGGGCGGGGGCGGGGACTACGCTGGGCCGGGCCTGGTGGCGCCGCCGCAGCCGCGGGCACGGAGAGCGCGGGGCCGGGGCCGGCGGCAGCGGCGGCGTTCACGGGGCGCGGCGGGCGCTGCAGGCGTTGTGGTGCCGCGGACATGGGTGGGCGGTGTCCATAGAGGAGGGGAAAGAATGACGGCGCTGCCCCCGTCAAAGAGGCCTGGCGGGCGTTTGAGCAGCCAGGCGGTAGCGTGGCCGAGTGGTCTAAGGCGCTGGATTTAGGCTCCAGTCATTTCGATGGCGTGGGTTCGAATCCCACCGCTGCCAAGTTATTTTGTCCTCGCTGCGGCGGCTCCTTTTCGCCCCCCGCACAGCAGAAATGCGGGAGCTGCCGCCGGGGCCGGTACGGTACGAGCGGCTCTGCTCGGGCCGGGCACAGCGCGCCGTGAGTGCTGGGGGCTGTCGGTCACAGTCGTTAAAATTAAAATCAATATTATAGAAAGTTGTGATATGAACTAGAGAAAAGCGATTATCCACTGTGTGGGTCTCTTGCTGTAAGAATAAAACGAGAAACACTAATTTTCAGGGGTTCTGCCTTCCTGCGCTGCTTTTGTATCACAGCACCCCGACGCACGGGCCTGGCACCTGGGCTTTGTGGCCTGCCCTGGATTCCCCTGGAGGGGAGGTGCCAGTGTTCGCATCCTCTCCAGAATTCTCAAACCCATCCATGACTACTCCCCTCCAGACCATGATTTCTCAAGCTCTCATCCCTAGTCCTTTCCCAAGCTCTCCACTGTTCACATCTTGTAGTTCTCTCTCCATGTTATATGTTGGAAAGATGCACATGGGAAAGAGATTTTTGTGGTGGATGGGAAGGAGCTGGACTGTGCTTTGGGTCTATTTTAGCTGAACAGTAACGTGAAAAACATGTTCACTTTAGCTGCTGCAGGGATTTGCTCAGTACAACTGCCGTACTTCAGAAATTTGGTGCCAAAACAGACTTGGGCCTTAGGTTCAGCTGAGGAGGAGCAATTGAACTGTGTTAGTTGTGGCCCTTAAGTACAGGAGGTGAAGGAAGCTGTACAAAGATCTGTGCAACCCATAGCAGCAGATTCCTCTACTGTGTCATAAATACACTTAACCAATGTAACTTACTTAGTAACTTCCAATTTAACTAGAATACCTGGTTTTGACCTGTGAAAAGCCCTACCAGCACATACCCACAACTCTGCAGCGGGGGCAGGGCAGGGAGCAGGTCTGGGAAATTGTGCAGAGGCACAGCACGAACTTCAGCAATGTTTCAAGTACAATTTTATTTTCCCTCAGATGTGGTGCTAGAGCTAATTCATGAAATCACACAATGTGCAGTCTCTGTAAGCCTGGTGTGTGTTATTTGCAGTAATCTGTTCTATCTGTGCCTTTGCTTGTTCCTCTGTTCCCCAAGGTAGTGAGCCTTGACAGAAGCTGTGGTCAGTCTTTCTTCTTATTTCAGCCATTTTTTCTTCACTAGTGAAGCACTGCAGGCTGTCTGCAGCTCTTGTTTTTCCTGCAGGTTCTCATTTACTTCAGCAATCAATTTGGAAAGTTGTTTTGGTTTGAAATAGAAGCAATAATCTTGACTCTGGTTGTGTTTCAGTGATTTGGCAATTATTGTTTACTGTATTTTAATTTCTCAGGTCCAGCCACTTGTTTGTTATGATATTGTTTGTAAATTCAAAAGTAGCTGCCTCTTTGTTTCACTTTGCCAGTAACTATTGGGAAGTTAGAATGATCTGGGTAGCAAATACTGTGACCGTGCAGTTCATGCAGGTCAGTGCCGTCTTTCTTTAAAAAAATGCAAAACTGAAAGGCCACCAAGTTTTGAAGAAAGAAAAACCAAAATTAAAGTAACAATTAAAGTAAGCGAAATATTGAGGAAGAGTTTATAATGTGAGGGTGGTCTGGATTCAATGTAGTGATCCACAGAATCAGCAAAGTCAAACTTCTGTGGGCGGTACCCCAGCTGAGCTCGTGCCTTGTCTATTCGAAATGTGTGAGTTACAGAAATGTTCTGTACCTGCAGGGAAAAAGAGTCAACATACAAAAAGGTATGACTACACAGGCAACTGAAACAAACTGTAAATGGTAGCAAAGACACAGTTAAAGGAAATGTAAAATACAAAAAAACCCCACAATATTATATCAATGTCCTATGAGTATTGAACATATTATTTTTAAAATTGTCCACTCAAAAGGAGATTCTTGAAAGCACAAAGAGACGTTAAAAGATGCAAAGTAGAATCTGTAAAATCCACAAAAAATATTCTGCAAGTGTTCTCTTGCTTAGGTACTCAAAGAGTCAGACCAAAGTCATCTCGTAGGTTCCCAAAGGCCCAGCCAAGGCATACAGGATACTGACCCTTGGAAGAGAGGAGCTGAAGAAGCCTCTCCCAGATTGCAAACATAAGCTCTTTTCAAAAATCATGGCAACCAAGCACAATATATTGCCTAAATTGTACACAATGCCTGTATTTGCCCTGGAAACTGGAGGCTGAAGTAGCTCTGGGTGGATTTTACTTTCTGCTGACTGAAAGTCTCCCTCAGATGAACATGTATGGATCCCGTGGGAATTAAGGAAAGTTTACAAACACAGACTTTACCTCATTTCTGGTCAGCAGTGGGGGCAGGTCAACAACTGGTCTCAGAATCGCATGAAGGTGTTCCATGAATGTGGCTGCATAACAAAAGATTTTGACTTCAGGTAAGAACAGTAAATTGCTTTGCCACTGTGATTGTGACATCTGTCACTCTGTAAATGCTCACTAAGGATAATCACAGACCTGACATGCTAACACCATCTAACTACTTGCTCACAAGGGGCTGGATTTAATCTTAATTGTGCTTGTGGAAAAAGGATTTGGAAAAGGGAAAAAGAGTTGGGCACAGATGTAGTGAAAAGATCATGAGGCTTCATAAAAAATATGGCAACAGAGAACTCAGTTGGATTCTGTCTGAGTTGCAGTGGGGGGTTGATTCTGGAGAGAGCAAGACATTTACCCGTGCAGCAAAGCAGATACTCTTCAGAATATTTAATAAAGTCATGGAGTTTTACATTTAACTTTTTGTATCAACTCCACAAAGTTATACCTCTGTTAGGTCCTACATAAAACCTGTTTTAGTGGGACTTGAATAAGAGATCATTCTGCTTTCAGCATACTGCACGGAGGTGAGTTTTACACTGCTAAACACTGGATGAGCACACAGCATATTATTTTTATACATGAAAATGAAAATTGTGGGCAAATAAAACAATATTATATTACAGTTAGGAATGAGAGTAGCTTGAACAGGAAAGAGAAATGTTGATAAAATATTTTACCTGATGCATAGACTAAAGAAGTAGGAATACTTATCCATGGCTTACTGCAACCTAATCTTTCAAACTGAAAAAGATTTAAAAAACAATGAAAACCCCCAGAAACTTTAAACAAATTTTAAAGTTTCAATATAGAAGATATTTATGGAAATATTTACTGTTAAAACAGAAAAATTAATCATGGCTCTGAATATTTACTATTTTTCATTTTTAAGGAGATGCCAGTTAAATGCCACTCACAGACACTATGTCATTTTTGTATCTTAAAAGAAGGAAAGAAATTACAATAATTAATTGAAATGTCATCGTGTGCTGATACCTAATTTAACATCATGACATGTTTATGGTTTTGGGCCTATCATTAACAACAACATGGTATTTTGAAAAGAATGAACAGATGAATACTTAAGATTTACACTTTTTGCTCACCCAAAATGCCCATTATTCCCATCTGCATGCCCCATAAATGAGGACAGTAACAGCTCAGGATAGGGTGCTGGTTTAGATGGTCCTTTGGTCTCAGGGAAGACATTTTCTTTAACTTAGTATTTTGGGTGGGCTTTGTTACAGTGCTAATCACACTGAAATTCAAGCAGGAATTAAACCCACATTCAGAGAGTTCCATGTGGAACTCTTCCCACCCAAAGCAAACATACAAAATAGAGCATGCACACAAAAGCTGGAGTTGCATACAGTTAAAGAAATGAATGTACTTGGAGATCAGTATTGCACGTACAAGGGGAGTGAGCCATTCAAAAAGGTTGGACTTTTCTCCATCATGAATGAAATACACCTGGCCACTCTGTTAAAGAAGTAGAGAAGAGACAAGTCAGTAAAAATAATACTGCATATATATTGACTTCTTTTTCTTTATCTCACCCCTTATGAACAGCTTAAAAATAATACAGCAATATCAAATATGAGTGGATGCACACAAGAGTCACAAACTCTCTGCTTGTGTTTCATTCAGTGGCACTGTTGGGTGCAACAGAACTGGTGAACAGGTGGCTTGTGTGGTTAACATGCCTTGGAATAAATGGTTTATTATGGATGTGCCTGTTCAGAGTGGCTGTACTGACTGTGCAGAGGCACCATTGGAGCTGGTGCTGGATCTCACTGGTGCTGCTGGCACGTGGCCACCAAAGGAGGGGACATGTTCTGCTCTGGGTCTACTTAAGGCTCACTGGAATCCAGAAGACCCCTGTGTAGCCAGGCTCTATGTTCCTGCTTTCCTTTTGCTTTCAGGGTTTTAGAAAAAGTAGTTTAATCTACTTTGAACCCCTTTCTAATATACTCTCAGGGCAATGCTTCTAGGTGATTAAAAGCCTGTATTTACAAGGAGGAAAACAGTTGTGACTGTTTTTGAAAGCAATGAACCCAAATGAAATGTGTGTCTGTTGGCACATGGTATGGGAAGAACTGACCATCACAGTTCAGAACATTAAATCTGGACCTGTACAGGGGAACAGGATGAATCTGCCTGAACTTTCACTTTCATCTCCAACATAGCAAACATTCTTTGCTCATCTTCCAGAAATTATAAATATTGCATTTTAAAAATGCAAAGATGGAGACATTTTTACAGAACTGAATATTCCATCTCTTAACCAACAGCAACAGCCAGCACTGTGCCCCATCCCACATTGCTCATTGCTCACTGATCAGCTGCAAACACAGACAACAACGTAAGCTGAATGACAATAACTCTAATTACTGCAGTGGTTACTGTAGCACAGGATACAGTGGCAGGATCCACTGTCAAGTGAGACCTGTGGTGGTTTTACTGTGTACTTACAGCTATGTAGTTCTTTTCAGGGGTGAGAGCTTCAGCAGCTAGAATATGAGCTTGTACAAAATTGTCTACATGTATCCAGTTCATTTGAACAGTAGGGTCCCCAAACTTGAAGCTAAGTAGCCTTCTCTCAATAATCTTCTGTAGATATAAATAAACATGAAACCATAACAAAATGAGTTTTGGAATGAGGTAAAGTGTACTTTCTTGTCCAGCTAAATGTAGGTTTAACTCTACTTAAAAAAAAAAAAAAAAAAAAAAAAGGAAATATATGAATCAACTAAAAATATTCAAGGGAACTGCTCTTGAGAAAATGTCAAAAGATGTATTGCAATATTCCTGAATTTACAAAAATACAAGTCTGTTCTAGGGATAAGTAAAATATTGTGTGGAAAGGTAAGTTACAGTTCTGAGTGGATCAAAAGTATTCACTAAATTGGATCAAATTTATCAAATAGCTTTGGCTAGGAAAAACTGGAAGATACACTTTGGCTGGAAGGAAAGCATCCCAGTTTTCATTGAACAGGTGAATTTTAGAAAGTGCAAAACATGACATTTGCATGATGCCTTAAAATTGGCTCAGAACAATAAAGCTCAAAAGCAAATAGAAATTTTAAAATATTATATTCTTATTGGGGCTAAAATAAAATCTCAGATTTAACTAAAATTATATTTTCCATTCTTAAAATTATTTACGAGATGATAACATATAATTTGGCTGACTGCAATATAATTTCCTACCTCAGCCACAAACCAAAAATATCTATTATGTGCTCACCTTTATTATTTCCTGAAAGCTCTGTATATATAACGTATATATAAAGTATAACTTTATATTACACTAATTCTTTTTAAATAACTGGCTCACAGAATTCTGCAGGGACCATGTTCTAAAGGTCATCTGTTGGCCCTGCAGTTTAAAAGCAAGTGAAAAAGAGTAAAATGTGAACACCTCAGCTGCTGCCCTTCAGTAAGCTGGTGTACCAAAGGGTGCTTCCAGCTCTGGGACCTGCTTCATTGGACAGGGAAAGCTGTTAATAGTTGACACTGGAAATAAGATATTTTGCTGTATCTCTTTTCATTAATATTTAAAACCATTTGGTGTAAGTTGCATGTAAACAGACATTTGAAATATCATGGATTGGCCTGAATCTTACAGTAATCCTTGAATTATAAAGCTGGATTTTCATGTGTTTGTATTTAATAAAAAAACAAAGGCTTTTAAAATCTACACTTTACAGATATAATGCTTGTTAAAAAAAGTTATAATATTCTCAGCAGATGATTGAATTGTTGAATTGCTAACCAATAAGATCAGTCAATTTAGAATACAAATAAGTGATGCTCCTTTCAGCTTTTTACCCATATCCTAGAAAACTGCGGGTTAAAAAATTCAGATGACATACTGCTAGCCTTGGCAAGTGTCTCTGCTCTTCTGGTCCATAGATTCCTGGTGGGCGAAGAACACACGTGTGGAGTATTCCACCTCCTAGAACACGGGATAAGATCGTTCTTAAGAGACCTTCACATCACTACACCGGATCTTTGTTTGTATGAACAAAGGCTGAGGCAGCAGAACTTACTCTAAATTCATTTCACTACCTTAAAAAACAATACATACCAAAAAGTGCTGCATTAGTAGTTGGCTAATAAGATGGGAGAATCAGAGCATGCAAAATAGCAAGAAAAGATTGAGAGAAGTCCTGCAAGCGTAGTTGTGTTCCTAGAAAATACCAAATATTTAAAAATCTTTCTAATCAATCCCTTGTCCCTGTGCCAGTGAATGTGTTGGCTGTGGTGACGAGTTCACTGAAGTGAGCAGGTTGTTGAAAAATATATTGGATAGTGGAATGAAACCAACTAATCCCACACAAAATTATTGATGGGAAGCAGTGACCTGTTAGCAGTACAAGGTAGAGCTGAAAGATTCCCTCAGCAGCAGGTGCAGCTCCCACTGGAGTGAGGTAGAAGCTCTTGACAATTTCAGTGGGATCTTAAAAATCAAATCCTCCCATGTACATCAGCTGGCTGTTTCATCATGTGCTAATAATTGTTCTTAATAGTACTTGTAAACATATAAAATATCAGTCCTGCTATTACACAGAATCAAAATGGGATGTTTGGTTCTATTTCACAGACAAATGCAGAACTGTGTATTGGTCCTTTAATTAGGAGAGGCTTTAATGTGAAGAGCTGCTAAGGAAATAAAGGGAAAAAAAAAAACCCTTTTCTTATTTTGAACAAAATAATTTTGTTGGGATGGAGCTCCCATCATGGACTTTCTATCTGTAATAGCCCTCTGCAAGTATCAAGTGAAGAGTCTTTTCTGTAAGTTGTCCACAGCTAAATTTAGCTCAGTATCACTTGGTCACATAGAATCATGTTGCACTTTACATTAATTTGTTTTGCACTGGCAGTTATAGTATCTCACAGGTGAGCTTAAGTATTCAAGTGTATAACTGGCTTCCTCAACATGGAAAACTTTGGGAAGCACTAATAAATAATTCCAGGCCCTAGGCTCAGGTACCTACTTCAGATTTTAATATATAACTTGAGGGGGTGTGTGGATGTAACAATTTAATCAGCATTCGTGTTTTACTTATATTGCATAAGGCAGTGACATTAAACACTTGTTTTTGTTTAATTTATAGCTGTCTTATTATTTTTCATTGACATACTGAACTTTCTGCTACCGTGCTAAAACCTTTTACTGACATTGTGGGAACTTCAAACCAATTAAAAGTAATTTTTAAATGAAAATACTTTAATTTGTGAGAGGAGGTTGGTAAATTAATTTCATAACTGCTGGGCAATCTTGTCCACTAAGGATTGATACAGGACACAGGATTTTGGGGAGGAACAAGAGGAGGAGAAGTAAATTCTACTACAAATTCATGCTCAGACAAAAGTACCTTCTAGTGAAGATCCATTCGCTGCCAGTACCATTTGTTCTGCAATCGATTTGGTTCTGGAATAGTGGTCAACGAGCTACAGAGAAAAAACAAATACATTTTTATCTGTTCTGAAATGATGGGACAGAGAGGCATCTCTTCTTCACTGGTTTTCACTTAGCAGATGGCAACAAATACCTCAAAATACAGAAGTTGTGGGGTATTAGGTTTGGCGTAAAACACATGAATATTTCTAAGGTAAAGAAGCATTTTCGTATATGCAAATCTGGTTAATTAATTTCAGCACATTTGAGAAGTAATAAATATATGTATGTTTTGAATGCTGCCAGGAATGTAATTGATCACTGCTTTGTAATCTGGATTTCTTCTTCAGGTAACGGAAAAGTCAAAAGCCAAGTTTTGAAGTCATTACACTTGGTCTGAAGTATCCTGCTCACTTCCATGTGGCATTGTCCCAGAGAAAGTGTTATTTAAAATGTTATTTGAAATATTCATATTTTAGCTCCATCTCTGTGAAGTACTTGATGGAGAGAGGAGGGACACAAAAAACAGCTGTGTATGCAAAGCAGCCAGAAGTACTTTCTCTGTTTTAATTAAATGCAATAAAACCATATAAATATAGGCTGCTTTTCCAGATCATCTCTACCTTGAATATATGTCATCCTCTAAGGGAAAAGCAGAAAAACCATGTGGATAATAAATAGCTAAAGAGGCACCAAGCCATATAACAGAATCCTCATGTCCAGGTGGAATATCCCTGATGTTAATGCAGCACTGTGGGAGTTATTTTCCAAAATCAAGGCCTTAATAGGAAAACAAAGAAATATATACTTTGATGTACATAAAACTGATGTGCCAAGGTTGTAAATAGCATCTTTAAAGAATGTAAAGAGTTTTCTTTTTTCTTTCATAGAATGACATAATGGTTTGGGTTGAAGCGATCATCTCGTTCCGACCTCCTCTTCCATGGGCAGGGACACCTCCCACTAGACCAGGTTGCTAAAATTCTCATTCCACCTGGCCTTTCTTGTGCCTGGATGCTTGCATCAGGCAAAACTCTGTTATAAAAACTCCAGGCTTTTTCAGAAACATGGAAGTAAACAGAGAAATTTGAAAATACAAGACAATGAAATACCTTGTCAATTGGGAAATACGGCAGAGATTCCTCATCCCCGTCTTCAATGGGAAGCCCTCCAAACACCACATTCACTGAGCTGGTGTAGACCAGCCGAGGGATGTTTTTTTGTTTGCAGGCTGCAGCAATGAATAATCAATTACTTTAGTGGAAAATTATTTGGGGAAAAAAGTTAGTGTGCTATTTTTTCTAAGAAAGTGTCAAATCTTAAAAGAGAAAAGCCTTCCATTCTGTGACTGGGTGAGTTGAAATGCAGAGCATATTTAAAGGTAAGACATCAGTGCAGAAGTGCTTTACACGCCGGCACATCCTAAGCTGGGTGCCAGCACCGTGCCTCAGGAGAGCTCCTCCAGCCTGCTGGCATCAGGACAGAAGTCCTTCTGCCTCAAGGGCTGCTCACTGCCTGCACACAAGTTGTTAGCAAGCAGGTTAACTACTACAAAATACACAGGGAATTGGTTAACTCCTTACATGGATACAGATTCTGACATCAGTCAAGCAAGGTGTTGAACAGCTGAAGTAGCTGAAGTACAGTGCTGGCTCTCATATCACATCTCGTAGCAGAACTGAGCATAACACCACCAGCCCATGACAGGTTTCCTCATTTTCTGCCAACAATGTAAAGTACTTGGTGACAGACAGAGTGTGCCAAAAAGGCCAGCTGGCTTTCTCTGAATTGGATATGATGTTTGATATGCTGTACTAACACCCAGTGGCACAGTTAAGTACGTACCATTAAGGATGAATCTTGTTCCATTAATGTTTACAGATTCAATCTCTTTTTTATGCAACTAGGAAAAGAAAAAAATTGTGCATTTTATAGTAATAATACATACTCAATTCAATAGGGGGATGTTATAAACATCCCCAAATAAACATAATTTAGTGCTTTGACTATTAAAAATGCCATTTAGACTGCTGTTTCAGACTTAAGTCTAATCATGATTTTTAAACTATACCTGTATTTTTCTTGTATTATTAAAGACTAGTCTGCTTGAAGCAAAGAAAATTGTAGTGCTTCCAAAAATATATGTCCAGTTATTACATATCTTGCAGCAGTATGTTAAATATCTGTGTTTCAGTAGCACTTTAGTGACCAGTTGCCTCTAACTAGCAATTCCAGTTATGCATTGCTCAGTGGCAAACAACTTTGAGTGAGCTGTTCTATCCAGACAGGGTAATTACTGAAGTTCCTCTTATTAAAGAAAGTAAGAAAGGGGTGTGTTTGTGTGTGGATGTGTGTGTGTGTGTGTGTGTGTGTGTGTGTGTGTGTGTGTGTGTGCGTGTGCTTATAACTGTAATTATAAAATTGTGACTCAGAGTCCTACATCAAGTGCATTTTTACCCAATGGTGAACAATTAAAGACTTCAAATATTGTTATAATTCAGATATATGAAGTAATTTATAATTTAGTTACGGTTTTATTCCTCCTAATGACCTTACACCTAGGAGATTCATGTGAAGGTTTAGGGAAGAATCAGGGTTTTGGAGGGAACCAGCCTCCCTTGTCCTTAATTTTGTTTTCACAGAACTTTTCAATGCCATTTCCATGTCAAACACCTTCCCAGGGTGCTGGCGGAACCTCTAATGGACAGGAAATCATTGCAAGCAGCCTGCTTGCAGCTGGCACTCACGTTTGCACAGAGCAATTTACCAGAAACTGGGGCAATATAAAGAAATTAAATCTGTCATGCAGTGTTACAGCATGAAAGTCTCACCCTCCATGTGGGCAGTCACACAGAGCAAAACCAAAACTATGTGGACTCACCTGCTGTGTTCCTGACATTCCATACGAAGCTACGTGAAACACACAGTCAGCCCCTTCACAGACTGCCAGTATGGCACTGTAATCCCTGATATCTGTCTGTAATACACAAGAAAAGATATTTGGACATGAGATCAAAGCTGCAGGTGAGCATTTGTCATATAGTGGGTTAGCACAGAGGGAATCCATACATAGAATGCATGTATAGGACTGCATCCTTTACAAGTCCAAGTATCCTGGGACTCAAAACTGGGCACACCTCCCTACTTGCTGATAATTATACTTTTCTTCCATAGAACCCAAAGAAATTTGAAGACATTCATTAAGGTTCACAATAGTCCTGTGTTTATTCTACAGGTGGTTAAACTAAGGCCTAGATGAAGGCAGGATCCCGAGAAGTCAGGAGTGAAACTGTTCCATGCATTACAGGTTTTGCTGGTTTTCCTTATTTCAGATATACTAAAATCCATTCACCAAAACTCATGTGGGATGTTCACAGTCAAAAAGGTTACTGAAATTTGAAATAGTTGGCAATAGGTATTTGGATTCTGTGAAAACTAGGAAGACATTATGGAAAAGGCAAATGAACTAACTTTGACTGTTGGGAAGATATTATTTATCATACCTCAATCCACACCACTCCACTGGGAATCACCCACAAAGGCTTGTGTATGTCACACAGAACAACAGAAGCTCCTATGCTGGCAAGAGCACATCCCAGCTTGTATCCACAATAGCCAGCACCTCCTGTCACCACGGCTCTCATACTGATTTTATTGAGTGTTCCAGCATGTTTGCTCCGTTTGCAGTCAGAGGTTCGGTGATAGGGTGTTACTCCACTCATTTTCGGTTTTGTGTCCATGAAATACTGTCCGGCACTACCAGATACATGTAAAAATTCCTTCTACACGGAGAAAATTGCTCCATAACACTCCTGGATGCAGACAATTTCAGGGAGTTTCATATTGACAAGATCTAGTCACAGCAGCAAAATCTGGCTTTAATGCAGCCTGCCTAAGAGAGATAAAGACAAAAGCAACCCAAAATTTACAGTGCCCAGTTTACTGCCAAGACTGAGAGAAGTGGTGTTTCCAGCTTCTTTCTAAGTACCAGCAGCTAAACATAAATTAAGAATACACTGAGTTGTTATCATTGGCAGTGCTGGAGTTGAGATAGATGAGGATGTCAGGAGGAAGAGGGATGCCTGATCCTTATAACTTAAGAAGGTGTATCAGAGAACAAGGCTATCAAATCCCTTCCTTTCGAGGGGAACTCGAATAAAATAGCTGCTATACTATAGAAAGGGTTAATAACTGCATTAAGAAAAAAGTAATAGTGAATGACTTATTTTCTGAACATGGGGGTTCTTGCCCTTCTAGGGGCTTCTCACCGGCAGTCAGGACATTTCAGAGGCCGTGGCTACCGACTCCCTCCGACACCCAGTCCCTGCCCCGGCCGCAATTAAACATTCAAAGCCACCCGAGCCCCGCCGGGGCTCTCTGCATCTCACTTGCAAATCGGCCGGGCGGCAGCACCGGGACTCGTGCTCGGGCCGGGCCCCCGCCCGACCCCGGCCTCGGGCGGTCCCGCGGGCGGCGCCGTTGGGGCCGTTGGGGCGGGCGCGGGCAGCGGCCGCGGGAGCCGCTCCGGCCCGGGGCGTCCGGCCCGGCCCCGCAACAGCCTCCGCAGCGGGGTCCCGCAGCATCCCCGGCGCCCTCTCATCCCGCAGCGTCTCTGATATCCCACCGCATGCCCAGGCTCCCACAGAACCCCTGGGTCCCACTCATCTGGCAGCAGCTTTGGGATGGCACAGCTTTCCTGGGATTCTGCTCATCACACAGCATCCATGTAGCCCACAGCATCCTGGGGATCCTACGGCATGGCACGGTATTCCTGGGTTGCCAGAGCATCCCTGGGATCCAGAGCATCTTACGGTGGTTCTTACCTGCGAGTGTCTTCACACAGATGTGACTGCTGCACAAAAGCATCCTGGCAGTAGTGAGGGCTCCGGTCACACTGAGGTACCTGTTGAACAGGTTGTTCAGGAAAAAAACACCACCTCCTGCCTACTGGTTGGACAGTCGGTGGCAGGACATGGCTCATAGAGATGCAGAACTTCTGAGACACCTGCAAAACAGCAGGAGCTCCCAAACAGGCACAAATAAGCAATTATGCACTAAGGTCCCTTTCCACCTGAGCCTCCCTGTGGTCATTTGAACCAGGGAGGGTGTGAAAAGGGTCAGGAGCTGCAGAATTTCAGTTACCCATTCCAGGCAAAAGTTAAGCTTTGAACACGTTTACCTCTTTTGTTACAGCTGTACTAGGTCTGAATGTTCATATTAAATTTTAATCACTTAAAGACACATTGCAGTTATGTTGGAATAGGAGTAACTCAAACAAGAGCCGGCTTAAACTGAGACTCAGTAAAGACCCACAGAAATAAGAGAGCTGTCTATTCCCAGCTGATACTGAGGATTGTTTTAAAATCTCAAATACTGCATCTGCAAGAAAGATAAATAAATGTACTTAAGCCAATTATTGTTAATCAGTGCTGTTATAAAAGCGATGTAAAAAGCATCCTATCCAAAACAACAAACCACAGGTTTGGTATTACAGGACTGAAATGATGGGACTCCATGGGGACTTAAAAGCACAAAGCCAGTGAAATCCTTGGTTAGTTCTTACTGAGGAGCATCCAAGCAAGGTCAGAGCCTGCACTCCTGTGAAAAGTGTTGGTGTAATCCAGGATGCATCCTGAGCTATTAGTCCAGTAAAAGTGATATGAAAGATTTATAAATTACTAATTTAGAAGCAAATTGAATGTTTGCATGCAGCTAAAATGCTGTCACTGGGAAGTAACTTTATTCTTGTGGTTTTCTATTCTGCATTTCTAGCGAGTAAAGGTTTACATGGTCCTGCCTGCCTGCAGCACTTGCTGGCTCAGCTGCAGCTCTGTAGTGATAAATTGTGAGTTTAACTGCTTTTAATCAAACCTGGATAAGGGTCTCATATATACAGAGCTTCTTTAAGCTTCCTGTCAATTGCCAGGAATAGGAGACAGGGCTGAGCAGTGCCCCAGCTAAAGGAAGATGTACAGTGGGAGCTCACTTTGTATGGACGAGGACAATCTCCAAAGGCAAATCCATAATCAAGCGGACTCTACTGCTTTCACTGCACACAGAACTATTTGTTTAGTGAAGAGAAAAAAACCAAAAAACAGAGTAAAACAAATCTTTGCTTACACAAGCTGCAGTGGTAATTGTGGTTGCTCATGCATTTTCCTGTGTCACTGTGTATTGTCTTTTACCTGCATTGCTGTTGGCTCTCCTGCATATCCCATAGATGTAGAGTGAGAGAATCTCTACAAACTTACTGGTCTTAAAAATCCTGTAAAATGCTAAGAAAAGGCAAAATGAATACAGAGTGGAGATAATCAGATGGCAGAGCTGTTCCATCATTGTCTTCCATGACCCACTGTGGCCAGTCCAGCTCTCCTGATTCATGTGGGGTGCAAGAGAGGGAGTAGCTGCTCCCTGGTCAGAGCAAAGCTGGATCCCAAGGAAAAACTCCTAACATCTTTAAGGTTTGTCTGGGCTACATCTGGTGTGTATATGTAGCACAGGTGGCTCACATGGTGCAATCCACTCAAGAAGCAACTGATGTGAGACTTAAGAAAGGGGAAAAGAGAGAGGTTGGATTCTCACTCCTGTCTTGGTGCTTGGCTTCTCTGCTCACCCCAAAATGCAATTCCCTGAACATACAGTGTGTGCCAGCAGTGCTACAGGGTTTTGGAGAATGTGACTCCAGAGACCAGTTACAGCTGGCTGAACTCCACCTTCCCACAAGCGCCTTAAAAAACACGAGGTTCAGTTATTTGGTTCAGTTATTATTTATTATTGCATTGAAAGGATATTATTTGATTTACAAACACACATAATGATATTTATTACATTTTTACAAAGCTTCAGAACAATACAACTATTTTACATAAATATGATTTTCACTCCTCTAATAACCTACTATTTATAAATATTTACTTTCCATATTTTTCCACTGTTTCACATATCTCTGTAATTCCTCAGGCTAACTGACAGTAGCTGTAGCCGTGCCTTCATCAGAAGAGTTGTTTAGTCACCCTTTTCTTCACTGGAGCTACTGGAGTTGTTACAGCATTGTTGTCGTGTGACAGTTCCTCTTCTTCCACCTCCTCACCTTCCTGAATTATCATTTTTAGAAAATTCTTCCCAGCATGAAACATCACTTAATGAAGAGCCATTCAACTATTCCTGCACCCATTTGTGGTGACCTCCTTTGCTATAACACTGTGTTGCTCTTTGAGAACATTTCCTGATACATCCTATGTTTTCACTTTTCTAGTTGTTTTTTGTTTGGGTGTTTTTCTTTCTTAATGAGGTCAGAGAGGTGTCATCATAGTAATATGAATAACAAAGTCCAGAGTGGCTGAGGAATGTACTATGACCAGATAATTAATACTCAGAAACAAAATGAAGCTTTCTGGAACAGGTGAGTTGTTATTTGGTTTTAGAAGAAAGAAAGAATGATCAAACTTAACAAAATGCCAAAAACAAACACCATTTTAAGGAATGTGTGATCTTCTTGGCAGGTAGGTCTTGTTTTTAGGTAATGATCCACAGAATCTGCAAATGAGAATTTCTTCGGTTTGTAACCGAGTTGATTTCGTGCCTTGTCTATTCGGAAAGTGTGGGTTACAGTGACATTCCACACCTGAAAGCCAAAAGGACAGTTATGGCAGTGACTTTAATATCCAATTTTCTGAAACTTGGATGAAAATATATCAACAATGATATTACAGTGGAAACAGAACACAAAACAGAGCTGCAATGCAGACAATCCAAAGGGCGTATCATGTCCTTAATGAGAATGTGAGTCAGAAATATATAAACATTATCTTTTTTTTATATATTTACCTCATTCCTTGTCAAGAAAGGTGTAAAGCTAAAAACTGGCTTTAGTATCAGGTGCAAATATTCCATCACTGTGGCTGTGAAACAGAAATTACTTAATGAGACATCTGGTTAACAATAAATTGAGACAATGCTGAGATTATACATCCTATAATTCCTACTGGCAGAAGACACTGTTTAATTTATAAAGTACATGATGAGTTTATGAATAGCCTTTCAACTTTATCTGCTGTAATTAATACCACATGGCACAAGTGATTATTCTCAATTAAAATAATGTTAATTTAAATAATTCTTGCAATTTTGGCCCCTGCATTTTATAAAGCCACTATGTATCTTCATAGGAATAAAAAAAAAAAATCAAACAACCCACAATAATTAAGAATGTATTTTATTTTTTTTTACCTGCTATATGAGCCAGGAGAACAGGAATATGTATCCAAGGTTTCCTGTAGCCTAATTTTTCAAACTAAAAAGGGTATAAAAAGAAAGAATAACAGAAAACTTATACAATGTTGAAAATGTAAATGAAGCATGAAATTTAAAAAAAAAATTTGATAAAACTTGTATCTAAACTTTTTTTTCCAGCTCATCTTCCTGTCAATACAGGTAGTAAGAAATGTAATTGAAGCCCACCACTCATTCTTTGGTGCCCACCTTCCACCCTTCATCTGCAATTGGACAGTAAAGGGGAGCAAAAGCCTTTTCCAAGGGGGAAGTGACCCAGACTGGAATACTGAACTACAGTTCAATACAGGCCCAATTTTCTGCTGCAGTCATTTCCTGTGCTGGCATTGCAGGATCAAAACTTTGGCATGCTCCTAGAATCCCAGCCCGATATTTCTGAAAATACAGTGCTGTCTCTTTTTAGCTTCTAAGATAAGATTTTCACTGGGCTTCCCCTCTGCGCTGCAGCTGATGCCAGGACAAAGGGATAAGCAGTGGCTGTGAGAGTCCTGCCAGATGCCAGTGGCAGAGCTTGTGGGTTTGCTTCATGAAGTGCTCTGTCCTGCAGCAG